AGGAAGTAGTCTCTTCAACCCACTCACCTAGGCAGCATCGTTCCAACTACAGGTGGCAGCACAGTCACAGGCACAGATGAGGATGTCAAAGCCAGGGTTGGAAAGACAGCAAGACAGGTGTTCATTAATCTGAAACCAGTGTGGAGATCTGCACTCAGCATGAAGCGTGAACAAGATCCGGATTTTCAACACCAACTCAGTCAAGTTATTGCTTCAATGTGATGGTTGAGAGACTTGGCACGTTACGAAATGTGTTTCCAACAAACTACTGGCGCATATTGCTCAACGTATATGCAGAAGAAAGTGAAGATGGACTGGGTATACACTGGAGAAAACCGATTGGGGACATCGTGCACCAGGCCAAGCCCTCGAGCGGAACCCAAATGGGAAACGATGAGTTGGATGTCTAAAGGTGACATAGAGGAGATTGTGTGAGGAAAGAATGAAAACTTGTGGGCAGTCGTGGACCCAGGTTAAAAAAATTACGGAGAGCAGAGTGAAATGGAGACGTGCTACTGAAGCCCTATGTTCCACTAGGAATCCAAAGGACAAATAATAAATATAAATAAAACAACTGACATGACTGTATGATAATACTACCAGGCTTAAAAGATATGTCTGGTAGAACTGGTCTTCAGTGTTAAGAAAATTATTTCAAGTTGCGATCAATACTTCTTACATTAGATATCTGTTTAAAGATGCCTTCTTCCTGTGAAAAGTTCACTGAAAAAGATGCTACTAATGAACTTGGTTGCGAATGAAGCTCATTTGTCGGATGATGAGGGACTGGGAGTTCTATACTGTGCTTATTTGTTCTTAGGTTTTTAAAGTATTTTTAATTAAGTGTCTAATATAATCGACCTCACAAAGAATAAAACAATTTAAGAAATTGGCACATACTCGATTATTTACGATACCACATACCAAAAGAAAATTGACTTTTTTTCTGTGACTCGGTTGAAGCAGAGTTCCTATTATTTTTAGCTACGTTTCATAAAAGAGGTGTGAACGTCTTGTCGTCAAGATGAAACATTTGAAATTGTTCCCTTTAAGTTTATTTTAAAACAGATCAAAATGCGATTAGGGTTTGTTCCCTGCAGTAGAACCTATCAACATCATCTGGAAAATTGTCAAAAAATTGTTCAAATGCATCAGAAAATTTTTGAAAAAGAAAGGATAGTTATACAAGGAAATCATATGACTCGGTCTAAAAAGTTTCGAAGTTAATGAGCACATGCAGCTCTGTGGTATCCATTCGAATAAGATGTAGTAAATGGCACTATGAAAATTGTTGCTCTCAGTTAATATTATCTAGCTTTTATCATGAACACTCTTTTCATGCAGTAACGAAGAAGAAAAGTTGAATTACAGGTGTTGTAATATTTGTTCAGGCTTAATTTAATTCTGAAATAAAATAGTGCATGATTTATTTATCTCCTGCTGAGATGATGAACGTAGTGGGTAGGTAAAGTGTTTTCCTGGGATGGTAACTGAAACAATTATCAACACCTAACTGCCTAGTATTTATCGAATTATGTTGTTCCAGTCCATAGGGTGTTCAAACAGCCAACACGTGCAATCCCATCATGCACTGTATTATCCAGCTTCAAATCTTCAAGGCAGTATAAGTCACCTGAAGATTGCGGATATGTCCCGTTGACGAGTGTCAGCGTGGCTTCCTGACATTGAACTTCCAATATCTGATACATGAAGTAGTAGGGTTAGTTAGATATGCATTGAATGTAGATCATATCTAGATGCTCTCTACACAGCTATCTGTTCCAACATTTTCAGTACCTAGTATGCAAACGTTCCGTTGATGGTAAACAGCTGAAAAAATAGCCCACGACTATTAAAAAGTTTCATTTGCGAAATTCACTACATTTCTTAACACCTCAGTAGAAAATAGAGGGAAAAAGAGTGAAACAAAAAGACTGAGAACAAACAACAAGACTACAGGTTCTTTCAACGAAGGACCCAATAGCCCCTCATGCTTCAGCACGGTGTATACGAGATTCAAATATTGCTTACACAAGACATTAGCCAATTTACTTCCAAAAGTACTTCTTGCCATGATGCATCTTCTTTGTTGCTAACACCTACTTCTTTATAAAGGTTCAACGTAATGTAACTTCAGGTGATATTGGTAGACTGACCATGAGTTTGAGGAAATTTCATATTTCGATTCACCTGAGCTTTTCTTTCACTTTCGCTCATTACTTATGAATTTGTGTTTTCCAACCGTGATTACTTAGGGTGACTAGATTATCGAGTTCATACAAAAATAAATCCATGCATCGAACAGTATTGTAGAAGTACAAGCACAATTTCTAAATTCTCACCAGAAAAAAAGAATGAACTGGTGTGCAGTTTTTAACTTCTAAGTAATGTGATCATTTTAACAAAACTATACTCAACTACATTCTAAATCGAAACGGTACATTATATTTTAGAAATATGTGTATGCAGAGTAACTGTGAGATTCGATGAAAACGTTTGGATGAAGCTATGCACTGCACCTACTGTTAAACATCTTGTGACATTAATACGTTGCTAATTAAGAAGTCAGTTTGATGTGTTTCAACTCAACCTTGTACTCTGCAGATGATCACTTACACGATATCTGCATTCTACCCTGTGGTATAAATGTATTAAAAAAAATTTGTGGATTTTTGACTCTTAGAATAATAATCGGTTTTCTTCAAGCTGATATTGCTCTTGAAAACACCAGCAGCTGGAACTTTTTTCATGATAATAATACTAATGACTACTTTATTCCAGACAAAATGTTTGGTGTAGTATGGAATTTTCAGCATGGAATGCTTCGGCAAGTTTACTCCTTGCAAAATATTTTCAAATGAAATATTTACAGACTGCATAACATGTTTTGAAGACATACTTAAACGATTAAAACAACTTTATATTGTAGTAATTTGATGTAATATACGGGGTGCACAACTTGTAGTACCTCAAAATTTGTTGCTAAAAAAGAGTGAGTGGTTGATCCTCTAAAATATTCTACCTTTAGGTTTGATTGAGGATAGCAATTCCAGTCAAAACTTTATTTCGTAAAATTATACTTCTGAATAAGCTGAAGGCTTTGCTGTTTAGTGATATAAAGAACTTTTAATCATCGATTATATACCTGAGCGTTTGAGAACGTAAATAAAAGGAATCCTAAATTCAAATACCATAATGATGGAGGGTAATTTCTCTGATATTCAGATGCAATTACCAAACGAATTCCAAATCTCCTGAACACACTGAATCAGTAAAGTGTATTCGGTGACAACAATTAAAGTATATTAAATTGATTTGTTTTATAACAAATGCAAAAATAAGGGAATAATAAAAAAATATAACATGTCGAGACCCTTCGAGGGATTTGGAATAATCTTAAGAGGGTTGAATGAGATCACCTTTGAAAAGTAACAATTTCAAACTTGTAAGATGACTTTAATTTCTTTCTGCGCAAGCCTTGAAGAAAATTGAATGAACATACTCAACGATTTCTCTTCAGTAGTTTTAAGACTGTTTCAAATTCAGTTTCATAAATTATGATATTATTCTGACCATAGTTGACGATAATTATGTAGAGGAGTTAGTTATTAGATCTGCACAACCTATCACCTGATGCATAATTTCAAATGAAAATATTAGAACCCTCATTGACTTATTTAATCATAACTATATCAAGGTGACATGCATATTGTATTTGAATACTAAACTATATTATTCAAATTTCTATAGGAAAAAATGTAGGTTATGAATATTTAGATTTCTTCACGCTAAGAATTAACAGAAATACTGTCAAGGAACTCAAACTGCTGAAAAATTAATTGCATTCGAAAGGAAATCTTATCTTGTAACACTTTAAAGAATGAAAAGACCCCGTTTCTGCTTCAAACGAACGCATTCAATTCTAATGCAAAATGTCATTTGGTAAAGGTGTCAGTTAAACATATTTGTTCTCGCTGCCTCCCAAAGTCTGGGATATTACCAGCATAGACTCAGTTTCTAATAGCCGTCAGAACCTTTAAGGTTAAATTAGGCCTTTTTAAATTAAAAAGCCTTAATAAGGAACTAAGGTTTTCGAGAATCGTGATTCTACAAACACTCATGACTGCACAGTATTAACCTGTTGCATCTGAGTATCAAATTTATTGACTGTATAAGTCCTTATATTCCAAGTCAAATAAGAGGTCTACTTGAAGACAAGTACTTCTATAGATACAAGACCGTTGTGATATTACCGGGATAATCTAATCATTTCGAAGTAGTTTATGATATGAGTGTCGAAAAGTTTCTTCAAAAGAATCACTCGATTATTATTATGATGCAGCTAATTAATTTATTACAGCTACCTCTATGACTTGTCTCAATTACAATGTTGGTTGAATTCTTCGGTTTGCATCTTTAAGTAAATGGAAAAGAGTCGTGAAATGCTTATTGGTAGTAGGGTGTATATTTCCTCACACATGATAGACAAATTTAGCATCAAACAGAATGTCGTAATGTTTTAGCAGTGAAAGACCTTTCTGATTAACTTTATCTCCATTGTATTTTTACAGGAGCACTTTGAAATAAACTTCCAAAAAATATAAACTGTTACCATTTTCGGGAACTGTTTTCTATTGTAGGTAAAGTTTTAAAAAGTCTTGATCCTCACATTCCATTTTTTTAGACTGCAAAAAGTAGGACAGCATAGGGAGTTTAACAGTTTGACAGTGCACAAAATAATCACTTTTCATATCGCTTCTGAAGTTGTTAAATGTCAGTTTCCTTTGGGAAATATAACAAATGATGCATTTAAGTTTCTTCAAATAACAGTTTGATATTGTTTTGTATATTGCTTACATCAACTTCCATTTTCAATATACCTTTATTCTTATGATTGCTTTACAGAAAAGCGTCTGATTACCTATTATTTATGATCCCAGGATTGTATGTAAGTCTGCTGTGAATAACCAATGAATAATTTATCTTTACATTTAATCAAGTTTGCCGCTGTTGGTCAAATTCTAACAAAGTACGTCCAATGTCAAGTAAGTCTAGCATTCTTTCTTATAGTAATGGTCATAAATAAAACCACGTAATTAAGATAATGATAGTTCCAGGGTAGGACAGCAAAGGAATCAGTGGGAAAGTAATGTAGATTGTCTTCCCTAGCTAGTATTATCGCCTAGGCATGATCTTTTATGATTACTAGGAGAATTATATTTTGTGATCAAAACTTATTCTAAGAGACTATACTGAAGGAAAAACCTGGGTACAACTTTAAACAGTTGTTTAAAAGTGAGGATGTGATCTAACTTATGAATGTCTCAGTAATTGGTTGAAAACCCTTATATTGCCAAGTTTGTTGTCAAATTAGTTGAGGTCATCGAATCAATAGTGAAGTAGATGGAAAATGAAGACGTTGATGGATAGTCACATTATATCGCAAACTGGCAGAATCAGATAACTAGGGACTACTGAACTACAGTTCAGCGACTGAGTGGTTATCATATCCGCAACAACACCTGAGTTTGGTCTCTGACGGGGTTGTGGGTGAGTACTGCTGAGAAGTCCCATATTAGGACTAAACAGCTGTCCAGTGATACCAGGCTTTCAATGATCCTCCAACTGCAGTCAGTCCATGATGAATGCTACCGTAAAAGTATCATTATTGAATGGAATACGGAAAACTGAAACACACTGTGGAGTGAGTGTAATGGATTCCCTTATCGTTTTACATTTTCTAATGAGATAACGTATCGAAAAATTTTGATTCTGAATCATTATCAGTCACCCTTCTTAGCAGAACTTTTGTAAACACAAGTTGAATGGGTGTTAAGTTTTTAGGTAAACCCTGATTTTTAGCCTTCACACTTTCGATAGAAACTTCTAAAAAAGAAGGCAAGGGAAATCAGTAACCATCAGTTGTCTGAATAAAACTTATTACAAAATCCAGCTGTAAATGTAGACAAACAAATTTCCTTTTTATCTAGAATAATAAGCCTAAATAAGACCAGTACCGACGATATAAATATATCAGCTTATTTTTACAGTGTCTCAGACTTTATACTTCATGATGAAAATGATCTTTTAAAGCTGACTAAAAATATTTATGCATTACAACTTAGACTAGTACTTTCATCTGAGATGGAATGTTTCAAAATATGCTGTCTAGACTAATTTTGGATGATTACGTTGAGAATTATTGTGGCATTTACATATGATCATGTGAAACAGTGCCTGATATAAATTCTATAGTGAACATGTTTCTCACTTACACACAGGACCAAATAAGGATAAAGCTCGGGTATTCAGAATACTTTTATATGATCTTTAAGAAAAATTATTACCAACTACAACGTATGATAATATTTGTCGTAAGAATAATGATATTATTAAAAAATAATCCTAGTAACATGTAACGATTTGTTATAAATTTTAGAATCGTGTATATATTCCTTTGGCAATCGGGATTCTGTCCAATGTTTTCAATGCAATAATGCACTATATTCTTTTATTTATCTTTGAAACTGGAGTAAGGTTAGTTGGCTTATATTTTTCAGTCAAATTCACATGTACGTTTCTGCAAAATGATTTTATTGTGCATAACGTAGCACTAAATTCTATGGCATAAAATGAATTCAAAAGTTTATAAACCCACAACTGTGGAAAAATAACCTAATGCAATTGTTTAAATGCAATGACATCTTGATAACTTGGAACAGTCAAAGGAATTTGCCTCGATAGTTGTTACAGTAGGCCAATCAACATCTGTCTATCAATTACTCCCTGAAATTTTCAGTAGTTCTTAGAAAGGGTTAAGTCAAAATTTAGCAGTTTGTTGAGCGTCATGATGTTCAACTGCATCAATGACAGTACTAATGCATCTGTTGGTTTCCACAGCTAACTTTCATCTGTGCTTTAGCATTTATTGTGGAACTTTAAAATTAAAATACACGATTTCGGATATAAATAACACCAATAAACTATCACTTGTTGGCAGTAAATCCCTGCTTATATAGTAAATCATTACTTTTTTTGCTTGCTGGTCACCTTACGGACTGCAGAGACACAAACGTTTGTCTTACTTGAGATCTTTGTTACTCAGTGGTACGTTGAAACATGAAGTCATAAAGTTGAGGACACGACAAGATGTTATAAATATGTTATACCTGACTAGTTTTTGCTCATTTTTAGTGCCATGTACCTGTTTTTATGTGGTGAACCCTAGCCACCTGTCCTCTGATTTCCTTTTAAGATTAGTGACATTTATTCTGATTGGCTATGTTCATCTCTCCGACTGAAGTGTTAAGTATTGAGTTTTCGGTCAATTTACTTGTTTGATAGCTCAGCCCCAATTCCAACTGTATTTATTCCCAGATTACTTAGCTATTTGTTTTTGATTCGGTGGTGTAAACGATCAGGCCATAAAACACCCTCGCTACTCCCTTAAAAGAGAGCCCACAGCTGAAGATAGTAATTCCATTTTTGCAGTTCCAAGTATCCCTTACCACAGTGCCCTAGTTTTACTCATACATTAGTTAAGGTTGTGATTATTATTTTCATCATAATACTGATTCACACTACTGCTTGCCCAGTAAACCTCAATGTTTTTAGCTGGGGTCCAGTAGCTGTCATACGCCAACTAACAACTGTTTGTTTCAAGTTAATCTGAAGGTTTGATCCATGTTTAAACTAAGTAGGCAAATGAAGTTATTGAAGTAGCTATAATTCAGACGCTGTTGATGTATTTTGCCAATTGAGTTTCATTAGGACGTTATAAATTGTTTTAAAGCTTAAGTTAGTGTTAGTAACGTGATAGTATTTACCTTGGGGTTGTATGTCAGTCAGTACAATACAGATGAGATAATTTCATATTCAAAAGCACCATGTATCTGTACCATTAAAATAATTTCCCAGTTCTTAAGTTCACATGGTATCACCAAATGTTGTCAGAATTAAGGACAGTAAGCATGGATATTCATGTCGAACAAGAAATTGCCATCATATTATAACAAGATTGAATATGCGTATTACAATACAAAAGTTATGCATTCATGATGTTGTTATGAGCCCATAATCCAATGATCGAACGACAGTTTAGGTAGAATGCGAGGCGAGGGAAAATTTGTGGGTGGATGTAAAACTGGATGATGTTAACGAGTGAAACGTACTCACAAGAAGTAATAATCGATTATTTGACTTCATTCGATTAATTACTAATTACAAAACCAAACGTGAGGAGTGATTAAGAAGAACGACAGGGTAATCTCATGGTCGTTTGACTCCTATGGCATATCATTTACGTGAATGGAACTGTTACTTGACTTCAACTAGAAAACCTTATGAAATGTTTGTCAGTTCATCTAACTGATAATTTAGTATTCAGTGAAAGTAACAGAAAAGGCAAACGGTCAGCTGATGATTTCTCACCACGGAATGTTAAACTGCGTTTTCCTCCCATGTAATATTTGCTATTGACTACTAAGCTAAAGACTTAGTATACCATTTAAAAGAGCGGCTTATTTCCATTCTCTTTCCCTTAGAGGCTCAGCTATTTCTCAATCAGCTGCCTACTTGTTTCAATGCATTTGCTATCTACCATATATCATCATATTAGAAAGATCAGGAATAACATGGAGAGGTAAATTATTTTCGTTTTTCACACTATCTAATAAGTGTACTTCATTATATAACTTCACTGCTTGAGTAGAATTATGATCATCCAGGATTAGTAATTAACTGAATTTTATTCATTCACCATTTACAACCGCTTCATAGATAGAAGCGTAACACATTTCTAAGAGACTATGATTGGTAATTTATCCATAACAGTATCATACACCTGACTTATAACAGCTAAAAAAAATTAATCCTGTGACTTAAGTATATTAAGATATATAATCCTCTTATATCCACTTATAACTCACTTCATTGAGATATTGTGGGTTTAAGAAATCATTAGCGTGTTTAGATCTCGTTTTGAAAATGGAGTGTTTTAGTGTCCTTCTGACTGCTTTTATTTGATAATCTGATCTTAGGTTGGTCAAGAGAGGTGTGGCTGGACTGGGGTAAATGGTTTAAACTTGCGCTGCCAGGTGTTATTATGATCACACTTGAGTGGAGTATTTTTGAAGTCGGCAGCATAGTTTCAGGTATGTTGTGATCACGTACTCCTTTGTTTTTGCAAATGATTACTGAATATCTACTTTGTATATTTTTTCTTTCTTGAAAACAGTTTTTTATATTCTGGGAAAAATGGATCTCCTGACAGCATTAGGTTGAATACCAAGCCTCAGTTTCAGCTTCATGAAAAACGAGAATTGTACGTTATTGGTGTTGACTGTTTTGGAAATGTTTTACATAAGGCAGAGATTGACGACTGAAGGCACTCACTTTACATTCTACAGAACTAAACAAGTTTATATTTCTGAATGAAGCAGACTAAATAATTGAATATATGGTCATTTTCAAGCTCCAAAATCAGGAAGATCACTCAAATTATGCAGAAATGAAGAGTATGCAATAACACTTCGAACATTTTCTTAAGAATCTGAGTGAAATTTTGTTTAATTTTCCCAGTAGTATCACACTGAACAGACTCTTTCGAAAATTTACTCTTATCTGAGAAATAGAAAGTATTTAGGCGTTATAGTCCGGACGATCCATGAAGACAATACCTGCACCTTTATCAGAACCGACCAGCAGAAAATTTTTATTTCTCGAGATTTCGCGCAGTTGCTTTTCGCAGTTCTTTGTTAACATTTGTGCGCAGTGTGGTTTCGTATTCAGATATTGATGACAGCAATAAAGACAGTTGATTTGAATTGTTTAGTTCTGGTGTTTTAAACTTGTAGGAGATAACTTGTTTGGTTGATCAGATTTTCAAACTGGACTTTTATGTCTAAATCATTGGCAGTTGCTGAAATATCGCGAAATTTAGGACCAAGAGGTAATACTTTCATTTGAATGGCAGTCGAAGATATTTAAAAATATTATTTATTGTATTTTTCCTTTGGGTTCCTAGTGGAACAAAGGACTTCAGTAGCACGTCTCCATTGTACTCTGTTCTCTGCAGTCTTTTGAACATGACTCCACGACAGCCCACAAGCTTTCATTTCTTCCGCACATGATCTCCTCCATGCCACCTTCAGCTGGGACGCCTAACTCGTCGTTTCCCTTTTTGGATTTAACTCGATTGTCTCGCGCGTGATGCCCCAATTCGGTCTTTCCAGTGTATCCATCTCCACTTCTACTGCATATTTGTTAGGTGATAGGTTCTTAGTTGTTTCGTTGTCAGAGTTCCTAGTTGCTTATTCCTATTACTCTAGCCATCTGATCTTCAGTGTCAGTATCGAGTGAACGTAGATGGCAGCTGTTGATAAATCTCTGTAGTTTGTTGAAATTGCTTTTCGTAGCGCGCCAAGTTTCTGAACCGTCGCATAGAAGCACTGACTTGACTGAGTTGGTGTTGAAAATCCGGGTCTTGTTCATGCTTTATGCTGAGTGGAGTGCAGTTAATCTCCGCACTCGTACCAGGTTAATGAAAGCCTGTCTTGCTGTCTTTCCGATCCTGGTTTTGACATCCTCGTCTGTGCCGCCCGTAGTTGAAACGATGCTATCTAGGTAGGTAGGCAGGTGAAAAAGATTACTTCCTTTTGGTTTCTCCCGTCAGTGGTGACTGGTGCTTGGCGTTGTTGTTGCTTGTGTCTCTTCGTCACCTCCGTCTTCCCTACATTCACTTTAAATCCCGTTTTCGCTGCTTCTTCTGTCAACTTGTTAGTTTTCACCTGTAGATCTTCGAGTTTGTGCGACAATATATAAGATATAAACCATCGTCGGCGAAATCCAAATCTTCTAGGCTCTTTTCATCCATCAAACAGCGTATCCACATCTTCTCGCTCTTCACAATTGTCTGTTTCATGATTCAGTCCAGTCCAGTCCAGTCCAGTCCACTCTGGTCCAGTGGATCACAACCAGGAAGATCATCGATGATAGTAATAGGCAACCTTGTCTTACCCTTGTCCTCACTTCGAAGGTGTCACTGAACTTTCCATTGTGAATCACTCGGCATGTAGCATCATCATCATCATATAGCTGTTGAATGAGATTGATAAAGGTTTGTGGTATTCCGTGGTGTTGAAGCAACTGCTTGCCGAATCACTTCTCGGTCGACAGTATCCAAGGCCTTATAAAGTCGATGAATTTGAGGTAGGGAGTTGACTGCAGTTCTACGCTCTGTTCCATGATGATGTGTAGCGTTGCAGGTTGATCCACACATGATTTGTTCTTCCTGAACCCAGCCTGTTCCAGTCATAGTTTTGAATTCAGCGAATCCTCTTCTAGTCTCTCCAGGATGATGAGGGTTAACATTTTGCTTGGCGTGGACAGCAGTATGGTTCCATACCAGTTCTTGCAAAAACTTAGGTCGTCCTTCTTCGTGAGTTTGAAAAGGTGGTCTTTCTTCCCATCAGTGGGCAGCTGCCTTTCCTTCCTACCAAACATTCTGCAATAGTGGTGTGAGCATGTCCGCTGCTGACGTCCCTGAGTTTGTTTCCAGTGCTTGTGGTGGAATTCCATCTCGTCCTACAGCTTTCCTGAATTTCAGTAACTTTATGGGATTCAGGACTTCTGCTTTCATTGGAGGGCTTGTGTTCACTGGCAGATCTGCGGTTGGGATGGTAGTCGTAATTCTGGACGAGTTGCAGATGGGGTGGTCGATTCAGGAGTTTTTTGAAGTGGTCAACCCATTGTTTCTCCTCTTTCGTAACTACGTTCCGCCCACTATCTTTCATTGGTTTCATCCGAGTTGATCTCTTCCCAGATAGTAAGTAACCTGGTTATTTGATACAATCCTGTCACGTCTCTCCTACCAGTGGCCTGTTCTGCTTCGCTTGCCAATGTGTCGTAGAAGTGTCTTTTGTCTTTCTGCGCATTCTACTCAACTTCTTCGTCCAGTGCTTTATAGGTTGTATCCAGTTCCTCTTTTCGTTGTTCATCCATCCATTCCTTGTCTTCTTTCTTCTTCCTTCCTAACACGGTTATGCAGGTTTCGTTCAACTTCCCTTTCGAAGAATTCCAGTGTTCCTCCAAGCCTGATTCTCCACGGATGTTGCTCAATGTCTACCATTTTATTCTGATGGTTGACGTGAAGATTTCCTTTGTAGTTTCGTGCTTCAGATTTTGTTCTGGATGTTGAACTTCAACTGTGGTATATCACCAACTTCTGTGAAGACTTTCAACTTGATTCTGAAGTTAGGTTGTTTGCACTAGATAGTGAGTGGTGTGAACCACATACATCTGTTCCCCTTCTTGATCTGATCTTGTGTCCAGTAGGCTGCCTGCGTCTCCACCTTCTTCACATTGAGATGAAGTCGATCTGATGTTTAGTGTGTCCTGGTGTCCGATGAAGTCAAATGCTTGTCACTCTGTGGATGTCCTTGTGTTTGTACACACTGCCTCCAATCACCAAGTCATTAAATGTGCGGAATTCTGCAAACAGTTCTCCGTTCTCATTCATCACTTCACCGAGTGTCTCTCAACCTGTGATTGGTTCTCGTCCTGTGTTGTCTGCTCCCAGTTTCACATTCATGTCACCCCAACCATTAGAATTTTGATGTCGCCATCTGGAGTCTTGTCTGGTACTGATTGTAGTTGTCTGTAGAATTCCCCCTTCTTCTCTTCATCTGCATTATTTGTAGGTGCGTAGCGTAGTGTGGCATTGAATGATTGTGACTCTTCTTCCTTTTGAGCTGAATCTTGCTGTCATGATCGTGATGGTGGAGGAGATTGGTTTCCACTGAATGAGAGGCTTCAATGTTCTTGGAGACGTCATGATAGGCACTCTGAAATTCAGTGTGGTCGTGGTTGTCTTGCTAGGTTGAATCATTGTGTGGAGATTCCATGTCCCCATCCTTACTTTCGCTTTCATCGACAGAGAGAGAGAGAGAGAGAAGTCACATAGGCCGACTGGCTTCCTGAAGGCTTTCACCAACCGGCGTCATTTGGCCTCTCCGATTCCGGTGGGGAGTAAGTTTCTTTTCATGTTTTATAATTTCTTTGTGTTTTGAAGTTACTTTGTTGATTGGATTGGTGTTACGGAGTAGGGTTGCTAGCCATATGCCCAACCTTCCTTCTTTATCCGGGTCTAGGAGCGGTTAGTAACTGGTGAACTAGTTAACTATTCGAGGTTTTTGTAACTGAATACAGATTTTTTCGGCGCTTCTAGAAAGCGAGAATGTATCTCTGTTGGCTTACGATGTCTCAATTTGAGCCGTATTTCTTTGATCGACTTTTTAACACCGGCGTAATGTAGTCTGTGAAACTAACACACTCGTCTTTGGGTAGATATAACGGTGCTTGAGAACTCAACAAGAGATTACACTCCAATTCAGGTAATTGTTGTTTAATTCCATTGATAATATTCAGTGTTTCATGTTTGAAAGAAAAATGATTTGGACAAATAGGATTTCGAAGCAATCGTTTCGAATATGGTTTCTGATTTTCGCCTTTATCGATACGCATTCTGAGGAAACATATTCGTGTATTTGGTCATGCAAACTCGATGGAAAACTTTAGAAACCCATCGATTTCCTTCATTGTCACTGGGTGTTTGCTCAACTTTATTCGACGAAACATATACATTTATCCGTAAAATAGTAATGAAACGTGGTGTTTCATAACTGAGTGCAGGAAATGTTTTCAGAGATCACAAACTATACAATTTATCAAGTATCTGAACCTTACAAAATAGCCAGGTAGGAAAAACAACACAACAATTGATCTTTGGTCACTGTATAAGAGAGACAAAACAAGAAGACAAAATTTCGCATGAATCTCAGAAATCTTTCGCTGCTGTACGTGAACAAATGATTAAATTATTGAGATTTCAACAAATGTTCGATAGGTTTATAAGCGATTCATTTAAGTATTTAAAGTATCTTTCCATCTCAATAATGTTATATACAAGATGGAAGACTCAACCTAACTACTTTTCATCGTAGTGTGAGAGATCTTTTCGTAGGATTGTTAACTGGTTTATTCAGGGCACAGTGATTGCAAGTTTTCGATTATTTCACTATTGACTAAAATCAGTTCACGCTTGCTTTGCCTTCAAAGAATTTATTCGGAAGCTCATTATTCACGAGACCATGAGGTTGTTATTGTTATCAGTCTGAAGATAAATAAAGCTTGAATTGTAGACCACTAGGAATCAATCTTTTTTAAGCAAACATCCTCACTGCCTTTTTGGGTGCTTAATAAACAATAAACTACCTAACTCATACCTCATCGGAAACATGTTTTAATTCATTTATTCAAACTTCAAACAGGGACACTTGGTGAACGAGAATTAGCCACTCAGACAATCCTCTTCAACATTGAATCGATATGCTACACACTGGTATGTTCAAGCTTGAATATTTAATGAAAATCGTAAATATGGAAATTGTGTAATAAAGTTTCTTAACCTGTGCTTGTGAAGTCACTGTAATTCCCAAGAACACCTACATGTTCTTACAAACTATAGACTTAAAATCTCGTTTAAATAGTAAATTCATCTTCATCCTATTATTTACTGCAAAATACTTCCGCCTTTTATGCAATAATGAATGTCTCCGTGACTGTGGTTGAAGAACTACTTGATCATGTTGACTAGAGGCCACGAAAAATGAAACTCTAATGCAAGAGTAAAACATAGACTCTATGAGAAAGTTTAATTCCACTTTGGATGGCTTATTTGATACTGCATTTAGTGAAACATTTTGTTTACTGAATGATGTTTCAAAAAGAATATATTGCTCATCGTCATATCAAAAAAATCACACAGCTTTAGAATTTCCTCAATATAGGAGAAAACTTGGACACTGTGGTAGATTGTAATTCCATTTTAATCTGTTTATTACAAATGTCACACACAAAAACAGTATCATTTATTGGATAACGTTTTCGACATAATTTATCGTCCATATTCATTTCAGTTAACTCCACAAAGAAAGGATTTAACGTCCATGTAGCGGTTAAGAATGTTAATTTGACTTTGGTGACTAGCAGGGGAATCCAGGGTATGCGTTTCTTTCCTCTTCTCTGAATTCTGGAGATTAATGATTTGAAATCAGGTGTCGTTCTTAAAATAGAAATAGCGTTAATTTCAATAGGTAAGACAATTGCGGGTGAAATGAGAGCATAGTGTGCTCTAACACTAAAACGACAGGAGAAAACGAAACCCAATTTACCCAGGGCAGAAACAGAAGCTCTCGGGAACCTTCGAAATGATAGAAATATAGTAATTGCCACATCGGATAAAGGCAATTCAGCAGTTGTAATAAACAAATCTGACCACACCTAAAAAGTGGATGAGCATATAAAAACAGGACCATTTTAGGAAATCAAGAAATTAATGGATACTATTATGAATAAGGCTAAGAAATCCACAGGGGATCTGATGCGCTAAATGAAGCCGTTTCCAGGCGAGTCAAAATGGTTTAATTAAAAGTTTGAAAACAAATCACCTCAGCAGGAGGACATTGAGCTTACACATCAGACTAAGGTACCGACCGAAGAAATCATGCTAGGAGTACTGTTGTACCTAAAATCTACAGTTTCCAAGTTTCAAAATCAAATGTGTTGCCATCAGATCAAATGTCCCCTTATCGTCACAGACATATTTATGAAAAGTTAGGAACACATGGCCCTCTAGACATTTAGTCCTACACCAAAGATATGCTTTCGACAGGTAGATATTACGTTTAAAATACGGAAATTGGAACTCATGAATAGGTTTTTGGCGTACATACATTCATTATTGAATGCGAGCCAACTCACCTGTGACGTGGAAAGTGATGAAGGTGAACTAGCAGTGTTGGATTGCAAGATCAAACAAAGACAAGACGGAAGCTGAGAGACTAGTGTCTTTTGAAAATCTTCCCACTCTAATCGCTACTTAGACTTCAGATCATCTCACCCCGTCTCAATTAAAGTAGGCTTAGTTAAATGTCTAAGTAACAGGGAGAAAAAGTTTGATAGTAGGCTAGAAAATATACTAGAAAATGGACACATCAACAATAAGTTGTTTCTCAACAATTACCTACTTGCATTTATGAATAAGTACATAAGAAATCAAGAGCAAAATGTGAGCAGTAGTAGCAGTATTAATACAGGTGTTATTGATATTATTTCTACTGATAATGGTACTATTGGTGATAGATTTGAGAGTTGTAAATCAATCCTCTTATTGGTTAGTTATTAATTAATTCAGCCAAAAAAGATTCTGTAGTTCGTTTCTGTCTCTATCTGGCTGCTTTCCATTTTAAAACTCTCATCCTATCCCTTCCTGAAATGTGACCATGATTCAGTGTGTAAAAAACGGTAGACGAGTTTTCCTCTCAATTAATCAAGTTATTTGGGTCTATTAGTCCATATTTCACAGAGTTTTTGTGCCCCTCAATCCTGGTTCACCCCTACCGACTGTCTTTACCTATGTACTTAAACACATAGTCATTACATGGTATTTGATAGGTTGAGTAATTTTGCTTACACAGTTTCCCTCTGAATGAGTTTGTAGGCTTAGATGCCACCCTAATCCCAGTATTGTTAAGAAACGTTTGGTAAATTTCCAGTATGCCTTTTTAACGGGGGACTACAGAGGATTTGAATTATTACCTAAAAATTTTGCAATTATCATTGATATTAGTAATCTTTTTCACGTGTCCTCATAAACTTTATAATAACCTTTGAAGGATAGTTATTAGGTAATGATGTCTACTCAGTGTGTTTGAATTTCTTTCTACAAGGTAGAAAATGAACAGGGAGAATTATCTATGTTGGATTTCAGAATAAAATGAAGGAGAGACGAGGGTTTGATGCTACCGTTTACAAGAAACTCACACATTCTAACAATTGTCTAAACTTCAAGTCATCTCATCCAATGTCAGTTAAAGCAGGTTTATTCAGATATCCAGATGATAGAGCTAGAAAACTGATCAGTTAAGGCAAGAGCCTAAACAAGGAACCGGAGTACATAAAAGAAGAGTTGATAATTAGTAATCATCCTCTACAGCTTATTAAAAAATTTGTACTTACACATAAGAAACGAAATAATAACAGTAACGCGAGTAGGAACAAGAACATCAACACGAGTAGAAAGAAGTTCACATCCTTCATTGTGTTAACCTACAAGAAATGAACTCCAGAAACTTTGCGTAGGATTCTCAACAGGGCGGGAACTATAGTCACATTTGAATCTACTAGCTCAATCGGTGATAAGCTTTGTCCACCAATCAAGCAAAATAATATAATCTGCCAAATTCTGTATAATGACTGCGAGGTCAAGTACATACGTCAAACTAATAGTGGTCAGTTAGATTAGTGGAATACAGGAGTTTAAATAAACGTAGAACAACAGGCTCTGAGAAGATTAGTTATCTGGAAAAACACTCGGCCGCCGCAATACATGGATTACCGCAGACTGACACAATAGCATGAGATAAAACCACCGTACGGTTGTCCAATAGTAAATGAAATGAAAAGGTAGGTATTATATCTACAGTATACTTGGGCTTTTCATGGATATTTCATTAAGTGTTCTTTGTGAAATGACCTGATGATTTGAACAAGTACTCTGATATACTAAAAGAGAACCATCTCTCTTTAAAACCCATATGAATGCTTAGGTAAACACACTTCAATTGATATATGCAGTTATACGTATTGATAATGTAATAAAATATCAGCTTTTTGCATAGCGAATTCACCTCATTGATTTCGTCACACAAACCATCACAAAATTCAGGTATACTGACTTCTTCGAAGCCACAAAGGTAGTTCATTTGCATTCTGTACTTCCGGAGTAGTTGTTAAATTATTTCTCTCATAGCTCTTAGTTCCAGTTTGAGTGTACTATCAGAATACACCACATTTGCTCAGTTAAATAAGTTTCTTTGTAGTGGATTGAGACAAAGAGTTTTTGAAGTCTTTTTTCCAAAATGTTTATTGTTTTTAAGAAAGCATTCTTTTTCAAGTCCTACAATATTTCATTTTACTTACAAAAAATGTTCCAAAATAAAGCTCACTTTAGACTGAAAATTGAAGACACAAATAATTTGATTCATGAAATGAAATTGAGAGGAACATTCCAAGCAATCTCCTGACATAAGAGCTTGTCATGAGCATTTTAATGAAAGACAATGAAGATCTAGAGACTGATAAAATCATAAAAGATCAAATAGGTAGGTCTAATCTGAACTAAGTGATCCTTTCTGATGCATGCTGGTAATTCAGGCGAATGACTCCTGATAGAATTCTGCGTTTTGATGATTATTACGCCCAAAATCAGATAAGTTATTAGCCTTTTGATGAAACCTTGGTAACTCTGGAATTTGTAGTTAAATGGCAACTGCCAAGCATGACATGTATACCTGAAGTAGTATTAGGTCATTTGCTATCATCTTATACGCTGGATAGTATCCTGCAGTATCCCTTACAGCACTGAAATATATTCTATTAACTGACTACAACTACTTTGGTCTACCTTTTTGTTTTCATACTTCGTGCTGACATGTTCAAGGTGCAAAAATTTAGGAAAAGAAGTAACTTATCACCTACTTGTCAAACTGGCAGTCATGCTTATGTTAGTTAGTGATACTTATCAACAGCTACCAAAAGTTTGTATTCACTTAACTATGAAATAGGTTGATAAGCTGATAAGAAATTATGTTTATCTATCCATCAAATAACTTCATGATTGGTAAACTGATTGTCTGCAAATATAAGATGTATCAAAACATTTACACTAGTTCTCCAATGTTAAAAATAATACTAGGTAACATGATTATTATTGTATACTTTGTATAAGTAGGTTGATCATTATGGTGTTTAAAGACTTTTCGAGCCTAAATTAATAATATTAATAATATATATATATATATATATATATATATATCAAATATAAATTACGAAAAGTCCTTCGGTTCAAAAGTAATGTATGGTCGAAATGATGAACATTCCCATGTTGCTGTTCTGAGAATTTTCAGTAATATCTATAAGTAGTCTTACAAGTTGACCATATTGAAATAATTATTGGAACCTAATTATAGATGATCCTCGTCTCTTTGGAGTGAAGACATTCTAGGTATCTGAAGTGTTTGTTGTACAGGCAGCTTCGAATAGATGTTGTATTACCTTGGATGACATGGTGAGTTTGTCATATGACCTCTAACTGTGGTGTTCAACATGAAATGCATTCCCGAAGAGACAAGTAATGAAAGCTCCAAATTTCCATATATCAATGAGCTCAATGATCTTTTAGTTAATACTCTACTAATTAAAAAAAGATCTTTGAATACCATTTTATAAAATCGGGAAAGTTGCATACTTCGCATATTTGTTTCTTTTTTATTTAGTTGCCTCTTGGTTTTGGTATTGCAACAAGCATACGCTTAGGTCAATTTCTCGGTGCTCGTTCTGCAGCTGGACCACGTTCCGTCATTTCTACAGCTCTTGTGACACTTTGTAAGTGCCAGGTCAACTTGGAATACTTATAAAATTTTATAAACCCCGCAGTTTTTGTTATTCCAATTAACTTTATACGTATTTCATGAGTATTGCTATATAAATGAGATGATGGTCTTTATCCAGTCAAAATGTACAATTTAGTGTCGTTAATTTGAAACATCAAAAGTTGAGCATTTTTTCAGCCTTAATAATATCCATTTCTTAGTGGATACGTCTGTGTACATTCAAATTTTAGTAGGGGGAATACATAACCAGTTTTACTTAAATCAGTATAATATTACTGTTCAGTTATATGGTGTCCAATTCCATTAGGAATTCACAGTTTTCTTTTTTTTAAAATGTATTTTTTTAAGAAGAAAGTTATCGTATACTCATCCATAAAAATGAGTAGTGAGAGCACTCAAACCAACGAGTGGTTATATTGTCTGTCAGCAAAAAAGCTGAACTAACTATCTTCTGAATTTGAAAACCATTCATGACTTCCAAATGCGACTCTAAGTAGTGTACAAGGAAATGGTAGCGCAATACTGTACACCATTTTTGTAACTACTGATTGGCAGCGTTATCTCTTTGGGTGCAACAAGTCATTCTTACTTATTTTTTCACCTTCTTTTGAATACCTATGCTTTCATTAAGTATTCAATGATCAAACGAATTTGCATATCTTCTTTATCTCATTAAGTTCCTGGCTTATACCTGCGCAAAATTCTACTCTCTGTTTCTTAAACCTTTCATCAGACCTATCATATTCTTTCTTACTTCAGTTAGAGGATTGCAAACGCATTACTTTGGAAACCGTTGAAAAGTGTATTCTTAGCAGAATCAAAACGTTGAAGAAAACTGCAATTGAATTATTTATATTGTCTCTGTGCCTTATCACTGGATTTACAGAAGTGAAATCCACTCAGTACAATGAAACAGTATGTTTGCCACTTACCTCTATTGATTCAAAAGAGGTGACTATTAAAAACCTCACTGTATTGAAAGATAACGTTTATACAACCTCGATAGAATCCGATCCGCACTTGGGACTAGACAGCGTGAAGTTGGTTACCCTCTAGTGTATCCAATCCATTCCTGCTGGAGGCCAGTCGCGGCCTGGATAGCTCAGTGTTAGCGACGCTGACTACAACACTGGGTGACGCGGGTTTGAATTTCAGGCGGGATATAGGTTCCATGAAGGTTACAGATACGCTTTACTAACAAGTGCCAACAAGCACGAAACCTATGTCCAGGGTATCCTGTCCGCCCAGCTAACATCTACCGAAGTGCATCACGCTGCTGAGCTACCTAGTCTGGTGGCCACATTGAGAAGCGATCGACAGAATTCGATCAGCACTTAGGACTAGACAACATGATGTTGGTTACTCTACAGTGACCAATCAACATATACAGAAAAGTTATTTTCAATTTAGATGCATTCAGAATAGACTTAGTATATAATAACATTTACAATCAATAACATATTTAACTATATACTGAATAAAACCTTCTGTAAAGTGAATACTTTATGAAGAGTTTTGTAATCGCAAAGCGTGAACTCTAATGTAAATGTTTATTTATGAATCGGTCTGTTGTATATTTTTTGTATGACACAAAGAACAGCTAGGTACTGCAGTAACCATTGAATGACTCATATTTACCTTTTTCTTATTGTTTTAGGAATAGTCGAATCACTGAGCTCGTTTACTTCACCAGTATTGTTATGAATTACTAGGCAGTTGGAACCAAACCACATTTTTTCGTTGAGAGAAACTAGAAGATCCAACATTGTCTTTTTTGGAACTGAAGAACTATAGGGGTTTACAATTATTAGTGACTGGAAGGTAGCTAGCTTAACGTTTTATGGTTCTAACTGTTGACCGAGTTTTATCAATTATTCCGAAGTCTGACCGTCAAGCTAAGAGACTCACTCTTACAGTTCACTGGGATGTTAGTTGGATGGATTAAATCGGCGGGAGGTCCTGGACCTAAGTTCAATGTTTTGTGATACTGGTCAGAAAGGTGTTTTTGCAATCAATCAATGTACCTAATCTGGTTCTACAGAACGTCAACTGCTACCTGAAATGTTCAGTGCTAAGGTCTCTGATAATAGCATTGAGCGGCACTAGTTCGTGTCTTAGATAGGAAATTACCTCCATTAAGGTTGCAGATACGTCTAACTGCCAAGAGCTAGCAGGGAGGAAGCCTAGGTGCAAAACTTCATGCCAGTTGGCCTAATTCAACTAACAGTGTAACAGTTTAGAGTATACGCTGAAAACGTTGCTGTCACCCGTTTCAAACCACTTTACAAATATCAAAAACTGGTATTTTTCCTATGTTTTACAGCATTTGAATCGTTTGTACGTTATATTTTTGCTGTTTCTGAGTACTCGTCAATAATTTGAGAATACTTACTGTAAGTAGCTAGTTAGTTTAATCACCCCCCAACGCAATACGTGTGCTTGAACTGCTCACTTTTATAAACCTGAGATTTTGATGGATTCTGCTGAGAAATATGCTAACTTCTTGAATATTGACTAACTGACAATTGACTTACAGTTACCAACATCAATAAAATCAGAGTTACATACTTAGATTATTACTCGTCATTGAAATGTATCTACACACTAGATGATGGCCTGCGACTAATCCATGATGACACGACAACGGTCATTTGTATCACTCTACTATGTAATATCAAGCCAACAAGACAAAAACCAAGATAAGAGTAATGTGTCTGTCTACTTTCGGCGTAATAATGATCCTTCATAAGCAAGAATTTCAACTTTTTTTTAACAAACACAGACATTCTGTGTATTAAACAGAGGTTATCAAACATCGTGTTATCTGTTTTGTATTTATTTATACAGGGATTACTTCCATTGCTTTCATTCTAATTTTGGTTCTGTTGAGATGGAAGATTCCGAGAATCTTCACTTCTGAGCCGTGAGTTATAACCATTTAAAGGAAACATGTTGAAGTTTCTTCTTTCTGTTAAAATTCACAAATTAATCGAAAATCAGTATTAGATTGGGTCAAGATAGGTGTAACAATATAATCATACATTAACCTTATTTGTAGGTTGACTCAGAAGTGTTTTTGAATCCGACAGTATGACTGAATGTTGCCCTTAAAACGACTGCTGAATACGTGACCAGTAAACATCACTGAATATTTCACAGGAATATTCAACTACATCAGAAGCTAAAACATACCGCTTAACTAATGAAAATGCTACAACTTCGTGTGCTTTTAAAGACCACCCTATCAACAACCGAAATAACCAATTAAGTTTCTTCGTTTCCTTTGGAAAGGCGAATTTTGAAAAATAGAGGAATCTAATTGGTTACTTCAGTTGTTGCCAGGGTGACCTTCAATGTCACTCACCATTTCTCTCAAAATGTTTTGTTAACCACACAATGACTTTTTCGATACTCAGAAGTGTATCACTGACGTGTGAATGGATCGGTTATTGAAATAAGTAGTCTTTGATGTGCAGGTCACAAACCTTAGAAGCTCATAACTTTACCACATCTATTCAACTTCTTACTTTGAACCAACTGACTTACTAGTTCAATAATAAAACTTCACCTTGTGATGATGATTTGGTGATTCAACATATTTTTAATCGCAGAGTGTGTTTTAACCGCAGTACGATTGTATTTGACAGTCATTCATTAGTATTAAATAGTATAGGATGGGACAAAACCACTGTACTTAGGTCTAATATAGCTAGGTGGAGAGAGAGATTAATTACTGAATCTTTGATCATCGAATCCACACCCAACACATGTAATAGGAATGACGCAACACCTATACCAGAGATATGGAAAACTTTACTACCAATCAAAAAACAAAGAGAGATCAGGTGACAGGGCTATAAAATCAGATGTCGAAAGAAGTGTGATTACATTGATATGATTATGAGCAATAATTTATGCTCGAAACGTAATCAATTAAATAATACTGTATCACTGTGCGCTATATGTCAAATAAACAAATCTAATATGGAACTACATTCTACCACAGTGCCCAAGTTTTTCACTTATATTAATAGAATATTGGTTGTTTAAAGAGCTACTGGGAGACATGTTTTTCCCCTCAATATCCTGAAAGAATGGATACACTAACCTAATGCGATCTAACTTAAACATGAGCAAACAAAGTGTGTAGGACGACTTAGCATTTAGAGTTTCCCGAAGAATTTTTATAATCTTATGAGACTGGTCATTTTAGTGTATTAGTTTTACTGGCTAGAATAAAAACTTATTTTCGGAAAGTGAAAGGCAGTCGACTAACCTCCAGTAAAGTACCAATGCAGCTTAATTATTCTCATTTCGAGGAAATTTGTTTTTCAGTTCTATGTTTATTTTTGAAATGCAAACTAATAATCATATCCACTTATAATCAATTATTGCCTCATTTATTTTATGATTTCAGTGATGTCATTGATCTAACAGCTAAATTGTTACCATTAATCGCTACATTTCAAATATTTGATGGAACCGTGGTAAGATGCCGTTAAGTCATTTTAAATGTGCTTGTTACCGACCTTCATCCACGTTTCAACAATTATTTGTATCCCCATACTCATTCACTATCCTTTTTTATGCTGTCTGTGTGGCAGGAAACTTGACCACCTGCATTGCACTAATCTTAGTGACTTTCAGTGTAAGGTTAGATGGTTTTTTTCCCTCCACCTATTTCCTAGTCCGTTTGTGAACTACTAAATAACATTTAAGTTATTGTTACATGTCGAATTAGACAGATGTCAAAGTAAAACGAAATAGGTTTTGATTGCTTCCTCGTGCAGCTTTGTTTTCATCAAAGTTGGGCCTAGTAATGCTGTAAAACATCTATTCTTCTCTGAAGATTCAGGTAACTTCTTAAAAGTCTTCTTATGTGTGAAAAAAAGATAACAGAAAGCTTTGTTCACTCTGTTCTCATAATCTTAATAACATCCACAGAACTAGGAGTAATTTCAGTCACGATATGTTGTATTCTGCTAGCAAAAAGAAGGTTACACTCTTAGACTTGTCTAAATTTGGACTTTATTTTTGGGGAATCGCTGAATTACTGGACTAGAACCCTTTGCAACCAGAATTCTTCGCTTTTTTAAAATTCGGGAGGAGGTTAAGGCTAAACAAGAACTCTGCTAAATTACAGTGCCTCCGAATAGAGAAAAGAAAAACTGTACTCAGCTGTTCAACGAGGAACTAATATCTCATAAGAGGCTGAAGAGTATAGAAGTAATTAGTTCTACGGCCCTCCATAGTACTAATGGGTATGGCTGACTGTAATGAAAACGCAAAAAACGTGCTCATAGACTGAAATTCTTACCAACTAAATGAGACGAAATTCATGCAAAAGATCAACGCTAATATAACCAAAACAGTATTTCAGTCTTTCAAGTAGGACAAATTACACAGCAAGATCATTGGAAAAATAAATTCAAAGAACCTATTCTTCCAAACTTTTACGGTAGACCGAAAGTATGCAAACTAAACATCCTCATTTCTGAGGGCTCCGATATATCGTCCATTAGAAAACCTCTTCAGAAGACAGAAGTATCCAACAAACGCTTTGTCAAAGACTGGGATATTCATGTTGACAGTGATTAACTAATAATGCCCTTTGGTGTTATAGCTCAGTGTATCTCAATCTAACTGAAAGTACCTAGTGATTCATTTGCTGTTCTGTTCACCTTTGATACACGTATCTGAGAGCGTGCAAAATTACATTGTTCAGGTTTGACAAAAAATTCTTATTTGTGTCTGACAACATATTCGGAGTTCTATGGCAGTCTACGAAGATAGATGAAAATAACACTAACGCACCTGCCTAAACATGCAGTAAGTGGGAAGGCGGTAATTTTGCTACTGGTCAAACCACAGGTTTATATCCAGTATGTTGAGGATGCGTTGACGTTTATTCAAAGGAACGACCCCGGCCAGCAGCAGTTACCTTGACGTAGTGGTCAGGCCAATACATCACAACCACCCAACGAGCTACACTAATTAGACCACTTGTTCTCTCGAGGTCCAACAATGCCAGGAAGGTCTGTTGGATAGTATTAGGACAAAAGTACAATTACCATTGTAGTGTAAATCAATGCTTTATGATGGGTTCCGACGGCGAGGTCGTACTGCTGCCTGGATGGAGTGTGATAGCAATAAAGTGTTTCACTTTCATGACCGGCTGTACCACACTGATGCTGTCTTCGCAATGAGACTGGAGGATTAGGAAAATTAGGCCCCAAAAATAGCACACTTCACCATGCTCCACTGTCTTCCAGTGTCAGCGGTTTGGGTTATCTATGTTCGGTGTTAGAATAACTAAATCTGAAAACAACATTCGCGAAAGGTTGTGTGATAGGCCACAAACAGATGTCTCATATTCTCTGCAGTCACGAAAATATTTTCTTCTTTCGGTCACGTTGAGAAGAAATAGCCTTTCACAGTATGAGGAGCCAGGAAGCGTCAACTATCCACACGTAGTACGCAAGACCTAGTCAGATATAACTCATTCTCTTCATCACCCTATCTCTTCCTTTGCCTTCACCTCCTGATAACAATATCAAGCTTTTAACACCTTCGCCAACCTCTCACTGTATGAACATTCCCAACGATCAAAACCATCGAAACCTCGCCACTATCATTTTAAGACCAAGCCATCGATTTCACAAACGGGTTTTCAGCGTTCAAACTACACCAAATTAGACTGTGAGAATCTTTCACCACAATTCTGAAATTTTAAGCCATAGATGTGAGTCGCATATCAGAAATATTTAAGCAGGACCTGAATATGGTTATTAAACTGAACTCAACTAAACATAGTAGTGAGCCTTCAAAATTCGCCTTGCGAGTACCTGGAAACCCAGTGGCCAGGGTCGTCGTTTGCAGTTTTGTTCCGACAATCAATTCATTCTGGTCAGCATTAACTTTAGGCGTAAGGAGAAACACTGTCTCATATGATATCCCCCAACAGCAAATCAGTGATGCTCAGGTATAGATCATGTTTCTATAAGCCACCCTTCTACAGGTTTGGTGGAGGATTGCTGCTGTTTCTGAAGTGCCAGTTTGGATTCCAACCACGTGCCAGAACGGTCTCGTATATGTACGTAGTTTACCGGTAGCAGGAAGCAGGCAACAGCTATGTTTGTTCATAGTCGATTAGGAGACGAGGGTGTTGAACACGTATTTAGGGAGAAGTTAGCTAGGATTTTATCTGGGTGTGACAGCACTGCTGAGTAAAGATGGTGTGATACTGAGTCTGCTTTAAAAACAAGGGTTACTGTATTTCTGCAACTGCATCCCAACTGATTGATATGAGAGGACTGACTCTGGTTGGTTCAGACCACAACTAAAAGTGAAAGCATAATATGGTAGAGAAAAGTTTATGTTAGGAGGAAACAATGATTGATCGAGATTCATTGAAACATTCAACATTTCAAAAATAACAAAAGGCGTAGGTATCTGTACCATGTCATTAGGTAATGAATCTGGATAGGATAATGGTACGGACAATAAATTATGCCCGAAACCATATTCAACCACCAGGCAGGTTTGAGACATGGACAAGGGTGTGTCGTTCATATTTCCGCTCTACGATAGGTCCTGAAACACAAGACCAACGGTCGACACTTGCCACATTTCTTGACATAAAGGCAACACTCAACTATATCAACCGTGATGTATTGTGACAGTGTCTGACTATGAAGGGAGTACCGAGAATGCATATAACGCTAGTCAGAGATCTCTACCGGAACCCAAATTGACGACAAGTAGTAGCGTTCGCCAGTGATGTCTATTTTCACCATTCCTTTTTACCTTCGTTACAGATTTACTAATGGACATAACCCTGTGTACGTCTGACTTCACAGGGATTCGCCTACTGCTTGCAGGTCATCTGGTTGACTTGAAGTATCCAGACGATGTTGTCCTGCTAGTTGAATATGCCGTCAAAATACAGGGTTTTCTAGACCAGTTGAGTAGAAATTAGAGTATGCTTGGTATGCGTTTCGCTGGCACCTGTGGAATGTGAAATAAAGCTCCAGGACTGATCTGCTGTAAGTACTCCCAGATTAATGATCGGAAGTGAAGAGGTATAACCCGTCTACCGTTTCACATATTTGGGGAGTTGCATAAGCTCCGACGAGCTAGTTCCAGATGAAATCTCACCTCAAATGCAGAAGGCTCGTTTGGTTCTCACCCACTTGGAAGATCTCTGCTGCTTACAGCTGAGATATCTAACTACCTGCTAAGCGATAAGTATACTACGCTGCAGCTCGTTCTGTCACGTTATATGATTGTGAGATATAACTGCTAAAAGTGGCAGATATGAAGCGACTTCAAGGTTTCGATCATAAGTATCTTCGTGGCATTGGTCACGTTTGGCAGAACCATCGTGTGAGCAAAGGTAAAGTCAGGCCAAGAATACTAAGCAAGACAGGTAAGTCGGTCTATGAGGTTGTGAACCTTAGTCAGATGAAGTGGCTAGGAAATGTACTACACCTGCCGTGCCAAGGGAAGTTAAATTAGGCTGGAGAAGGTTCAGGGTGACTGCAGCAAGGTGTCGCAACACAAGAGGAAGCATCCTGCTGTTGGTCTCAGTTATATAAGTGGCTGAAGACTGACAGACCATGGTTTTTAGGAAAAACGGATGATCTCAGAGTTTAAAGTACAACTTGCTGGCAAATGTTAGTCAGTAGGAATCAACGTGGTATCAGAAATTACTTCATGAAAGCTGAAACACCTTATATAACCATAACATGGTAGAAGTTACTAAGATGAAAGATGATGAAAGATTGAGCTACTACTGAGCAGTTTGTTGGTAGTGTATCCGACAATAAATGCTAAGTTCCTAAGTAAAGACTCATAAAAAGATGAATTCGTCCAACCTTCCACTAAATTAGAATCTTTGTATGTGAAAATGATGAGACTACCTTATATTGTGGTAGTGAGAACAATTCAGTCGACAAAAGCTGCCATTACATATATCCTGGTTTTTGACAGTCCCTTAAATCATATTTGCTGATGACGAAGACCGCCTACAAAGCCTAAGCTGATTTATTCATGTACCCAGCTGTCTGCGATTATCTACTTCAGTTTGCTGTGTTAGCAAACAATTCGTATATATTTCAGTTTGCATTCAAAAATCTCAGTAGAACTATAAGGCAGAGGTAATGCTTAGTGAACAATATCCTATAATTTATATGAGAAATGTGACATTTATTTATTAATCTGTAAATTGTGCAGTGAAACTCTTTCAGTATAATCCAAGAGTAAAATGGTAAATAAAGTGGTTTGACTATAACTTTCAAAATGTACATTTTATGGGATACAAAAGGTTTAACTAAAGAAAATATTATATGTCATAATATTTCCTCTGTGACATAGACGGAAACCGTTAGGTTAAAATTGATAAATATTAGGTGCCAAATTTATAATGACATTAGAGAAAAAATATGAGTAGTTGAGCTCATTGGAACATTTTAATTTGATACATTAG